TATTCAATTGCATTTGATTTTTCATCCTTTGTCATTCGACTTGTAGCTTATTTCGTTATCATCTAAATAAAGAGTTGTTTTCGATCATTCGGATTACAATGTAAAAATGTAATAAAACGCGTACATAAAAATAGCGAAGACCAGTATTACTTGGCGGCTCGTTAATATCTATTTAACGTTATCACCGTGCTAATGTAACTCCGCTAATAAAACGGACATCGCTGTATTTTTCGATTTACAAAAGGCAAAAACACAAATCGATTTAACGAATAAACGGGTGGCAGCACGCCATCCTATCCCGTTAAAAGGATAAATATTTATTCCAAACCGAGCCACACAAGCGCGTGGTAATAATAAACAATTAAGCGTAACATTTATAACTGTTTGCGAGCGTTAAATATACAGACGCGGCGTCTATTGAAATCTCGTTACGAACTTTTGTTAAGCGCTGTCAACGTTTCCGGCCGAGGCCGGATATCTCGTCGGCGAGATGACGCGCCACGTGAAATTGTCAAACGAGAACGCCACATTCGCGCTGCACATTTCATTAACCGCAATGCATCGCAATTAATGCTGGGCGCTTAACTATTAACGAGACCCGCTTCCGAGTATTAATGCAAATTTACGCGAAATAATCTGCCCCGTCGATAAGCAAGGGCGCCAGAGTTATCGACCGCGCTCTGCGCGTGCGCCGTGAATCCCCGCGAGGCGGCAAATTACGCACGATTTTCCGGCGATCGAACGTGAAAACGGAAGCGAACAATGCAATGAAATTGTTGGTGGCCGACGTCTCGACGCGTTTCGAAGAGTGGGAAGGGAAAGAGTCACGATTGAAGAACGAACGAACGAAAACAACCGCGATGGAAGAACATATTATCCACGTGAAAAACGTACGAACGTTTCACACGATTTTATTGCACGTCTTTAATGATATCGACGCGTGAAAGATTGCGATCGTTTGTAGATACACAAGAGAAACTGAGAAATCGAGGAGAAAAGGGTGGAGGCGTGAAATCAAAGCGAAACAGAGAACGAAAAGAGGGAGAATAATAGAGGAGTGTGGAGAAGAGAGGATAGACAGACGCGTTGATATCATTATAAACGAGCAGACAACCGGATCTCCGCTCAATTTGTTTGGGATCCCTACCATGTAGAACCCCCCAAAAAACCCTGGTTTCTCTACCTCCTTTTTTCGACCTAGAGCTCATTTTGTCATCGTAACACGTTCTTTGAAATCCTCTCGATCACTCCTAAGGAGACAGCAAGGACTGCTGCCTCTCTACTAGTCGGAAGATCTTTCTTAGATCGCGAATTCTTCGATGTCTATTTAGATGTGAAACGTTATTCCCGTCGCCACTTAAAAATCGTGATTTGCACATTCGACCCTCGATCCCTTCCTTCCTATTGTCACCGGTCTGGAGGATATTTAAAGGCATCATTCGTCGCGCTGTGGGACGACTCTATCCGGAAACTGATGATGAATAATCATCTGTTTGGAGAGACGATGACGTTGAAAAGAAAGGCGAATCTCTAACTCATCTTCCTCGATGTTTTTACATTTCTTATATTTCAGAACTCGTGAGAGTGCCGTGAAAGAAAACATTTTCTGGCAAAATTTCTTGTTCAAATTAAGTACATCAATTAAGCCTGCTGGCCTGCAATTGGCAAGTTGCCAAATAGACTCGCTTGAAGAATAACAATTCTCATATCGATTCTTATCTTTATTTAACGTAGCTCAAAATCATTCCTTCAACATCTATATACTGTCTCCTTTAAAACTCCTGTATTATTTCCTCAATTCCCTTTCTACGAATATACTTATACTATACTTAACGTGAATACACTCCTTACTCGACGCGATGCGACTTTAAAACAGATCAGAAAGCCGAACCACATTACGATAAAGGAATGGATTCCATCCCCAAGAATTCCATCAACGAGCATCAAGGGGCTATTTCGAAGCAACAACGCGCAACGATAACGATCGCCTTCGCAACATCCTCTCCCTCCCCAGGAAAAAAGGGTAAGGTGGAACGGGATGGGCGGTGTAAAAACGGAGTAAATAAGGGGTATCCCGGGCCGGTTGTTATCAGATGCCGGTCATGTAAACCGATTCCGGAGATAAAAGCGCGGCGTCCACCAGGCCGGCGTCGTTCAAAGTCCGCGCGGACACGGTGTTGCACACGTAGGGGGATGGAGTAACTGCAGGTGCACAAACACCGACGCGCACGTCAGCTCGCGTAACACGAAATGAATGATGATTCATGCGGCACGCGAGCGATTTCACGTCGTGTTCCCGTATTCTTTGCTAACGGGAGGGGTAAGTGGGGAATAATACGCCGTCATTTGGCCTACGTGCAACAGGGATCTGTACCCCAATCGATACGTTCTTGCGCGTCGCGTGTACAACCAGAAGTCCTCTAACTGTCGGCTATTCGTGAATGTTTCTCATTGTTGCTCTGCAGTGTTCGATTATATCGAAAACGGATGGAATATTTGAAACTACTCGTATTATTTTTTTTTAACGAATTTGGCTTTTCCAGTCGAGAAGTAAGGTTGTTTTACAGTTCGCTTCGAAAGAAAGTTTCATCCAGTGAGAAAAAAAGGAATAAAATATACTCGTTAAGTTTCAAATTCCCCGCCTGTTTTCTTCTGCTATCTTTTTATCATCTTGATCGATCGTTTTCTTCCTCTCCGTGGAACGAGATCGCTCACGGTTCTCCACGAAGCCATCGGTCTACGTCGCTACGTCACGTGAACATACCGCAACGCGGCCACGCCGATTGTAATTATCACGTTTAATACCTGATTTCTGACTCGACACGGAAGCGGTCGGGGCCACCACCATCACGAAGAGACGCGCATGATTGACGCGGCAACGCTATGGATCGTGTTACACCTACACCCGTTGCTCGAGAGTTTCGACGCATCTTGGTGGGATTTGTGGCAAGCCAGCGAGTAATCTGTCATTCAAAGTATTCGTAGAAACGCCGGTATTCTCGCCACGCCGTTGTCTACAGCGTGCGGATCGTTGAATCGTCGGCACCTGACGTTGCAGCAACGTTTGTGGCTTTTGGTGATCGAGGGCGATTCAAGTATTTTAAAATTTATCGATTTATTCGAATTAAATATCGGTTCAATCTGATTTTCGAGTCGAGTTTCAAATTGCGAGCTGAGCGGAAAATATCTTTTGAAGTATTCTCTTAAAGTAACGTGTGATCTTCAAACCTGTTTTCAGACGAGATTAATTCAAAGTGTCGAGGTTTAATCTTAAATTTTGAAAAGGATAATTCGATATTATCCCTCTTTATTAAAGAATTAATAATGTTTCGAATGGCGTCCTTTCCTCCTCGACTTCGATAAAATCGAACAGAAATTTGCAGCCACCAAGATGAATCACGAATAACAACGAGGAGCGATAAATCTGGCCGAAATTTTCCTTTGTCAACGAGCAATTGAACCGATGGAAGTTGATGGCAGATGACTAACTCTTACGAAGAGGGGATCCTGTTCGCCCGATCCCGTTACAAGACAGAGGAAGCGCGTTACACCCGGGTTTTACCGATAATCTTTCGCCATCTTCGCGCGCATGTCGCCGCGTAATGTCATCACGGTGTATAGCCGACACCGGGGGTAATTAATTACGAGAGCGTTGCCCGATACCGCAACCCAATTAACGTGGCTGCGAAGCGAGTGCTCGAGCGAAGCACGGGACAACAACGTTGAGGAAAAGGGAGAAAAAAAAAAGATCCGCGCGAAATAGAAAATGCCTAATGAATGGACGAACCAACGACAATTACGGCTTACTTTAAATTGCAACCGACTCGTTGTGTATTGATCAACGCCGTTAAGCATGGAACATGGGGGATCCAGATTTTGTCCCTGATTGAATGAAAAATTGTCGTTGATCAATTAATGTAATCTGATCGAAATGTCCCTTTTCGAAGATGCAATTTTGACGAATCGAGAGATGGATCGTGCCAAATAATTTGTGCTTATACACAAGGGTTTGAAAGTAAGCGTAGTCTCGGAATGTACGAAACGAATGAATTCTAACGAGAAACGATGATAAGATTAGATTCTTCCAATCTTTCATCTTTCGAATTTCTTCTCGAGTGTAGATACGATAAGATAAACAATGAAATTTTTGTATTATGAAATAATTCTTGTTCCTCGTATTCAATTTTCCTTCCCGTTAGCCAACATCTAAATGAGACGCAAAAGAGACAAGGATCCCACGATAATAAATTTCTCGTACAACATCGTAAATATCATTCAAATTATCAAACTTTGCAAAATATTCAACGAAAAGAAGATTTACAGTAATACAAATATAATAATAATAATAATAATAATAATAATAATGAAAATCTGCGGAACAATGCTTCGTTTTTTTTCAGTTAAATAAGGAAAGACCGCATGGCGAAAGGAACTCGGGAGCAAACGATCCCGATTAAAAGCGGAAAGGGAAGAATCATAGTTCCGATATAGGGGATGCCTTCTTATTGCTATTAACGGAGAAAAGGATCAAAAGGAGGGCGGAATCGTTTGATGTCGCTATGTATAGGGATAAGGGATGGAAAAAAGGCGTTCTTTTGATACGGCATCGCTTAATTACTCGCTCGAAATAATAAGTTGGCCAATTAAGCGAAAACGAGGAGAGCGTTCCTTGTTCGTTCAAGAATTTATCGCGCCTGTAATCGAAATACCCACGTTTCTTTCGTAAAGTATGAGAAAGAGAAGAGGAGAGAAATATTTTTCTCTATTTCTCCCATCCAATCCGACAGTTTCTTCCAGATTTCCCGCGGACATTCAAAGTGTCTCCAACTCGAGGGTGTCGGTTAAATAATAATTGACCCCGCTGTCAGTCGTCTCACGTGCTAAACTTTTTATTGGAATTGGATCCGTAATCTCGGCACATTTCCCCAGATGCGGAGAAAGAGAGGAGGGCCTTTGCCTCGACAGCTTCCCCCCTTCCACCTTCCTCTTGTCTCCTCGCCCCTCGAGTAATGCACTATTGCTCGAGAAACGAATGGCAGGCTAAAGGATAGATCCTAATCCTAGACGGCCTATCCTTGGACCTATCCGCGATACCCTTATACCAAGAGAGGGGAAGTTGCTCGATTTCGACTTAACGTCACGTCACCTGTCGCATTAACCTTTCCTTCCGTTTCGAGATGGCCCCTTCTCCATCATCGATTGTTTTTCCGCAGTTGTTGCAGCTCCTGTTTACGACGGCTGTGAAACGAGGTTTTACAAGGTTTGTCGCGAGAGGATTTTTTTTTCTAAACCCTCGAGTGGGTTTATCGCGTGCAATAAGGGTGGGAAGGGACGCGATCTTTTTTCTGAAGGATTTCGTTTTACGGGTTTTAATTTAATTTTAGAAAGTTAGTTTCGAAGTTGCGGCAACTTGCTTGTTGTTGTGCTCGCAAGGATGGGAAAGGAGCAACAGGTTTATTCGGACGTAAAAATTTAATTTTTATTATATCGAGTATATAAAACTCTGGTGTTCTCAGGCCAAAGAGAATAATGGAACGCGTTCGTTTATATTATATGTATAAATAATAAATAGAGCAATTATTCGTTAGTACACCTCCTCCGCGAATACAAATTTTATCAAGCATTTATCGTTCGCAATCCTTCCTATTTCCCCCACGGGACTCTCCATTGCCAGATCCAGATTGGATTTTCGAAAAAAAAAAAAAGGAAAGGGTTCGCTTTGAATAATTTCGCCCGTCGCTCTCCGCTAAATTCATCATCGATCCATCCGTCGAAAGTGTCCGTGACACACGTGGTTCCTTGCGCCAAGGAACACGTCCGACAAGGTTCGGTTAATGGGGATTTGCCCGAGTAAATTGCTAGCAGCAATTACCGAATACCGGCTCGGATAATCCCTTCCTAGAACGCCTTGGGCCTCCTCCCCCTTCACTCGATACTACTCGCTCTGTACTACTTAGTTTACAGGGAAAATCACCCTCCTTGATCCCGTCCCTCGCGTGTCACGTGCACGCGCTCGCATGACGCACGTGCGTTGCCAGAAAGAAAGCTCTCGATTGCCGAGGGAACGAGAGGGCTTATCGTGCATCGTCATCGATTGATCGAATTAATGGAAGAATGATTGCAATTTTTCACCGATGTTAAACGAATCTCGCGAGTTTTTTTGATTCTTCTTTTTTAAATTATATGTATATATATATATTTTGATGCTTGGAATTAAAGTTTTTTCAAAATTGTAACTTGGTTTCATTGTTTCAGAAGAGATAATGTATATTTTATCAATCGTCGAATCAAGTTGAAAGATAGGGACGAAATATAATAATCCCCGAAACGGTGCGTATAACAAACAAAGATTACTCATTCGTTATTTACAATTTCAAATAGACGACGCAAATTCAAGCGTACAAATGTTTTCATACGAACGTATGAAGGAAAGAGAGCGCACGAACAAAACAGACGTTCCCCTTCCGAGGACGTTTCCCGGAACGATACAAAAAGTTGAGAGAAACTGGCGTACACCAGACCTTATCGCCAGTCTGACACGTATCGTCGAAGGAAATGGAAAGAGAATATAATACAATATCCTCTCTCCTTCGAAATTTCCCTCGTAGAAGGCGGCCTGTCCCGCAAACAAGAAGAGGAAACTCGGCGAAATTTGGATATTCGACGGGGGAAAGTCAACCTCGGCCAACTTGGATATCACGAGAAGGGTATAGTCCAGGAGATCTCGGATATAATTTAGCGGCTTGCCGTCTGTCCAAACAAACCGCGAGTCCTCGAGTTTGCTCGGCGTCCACGCTGTGTAATTCGAAACGAGGGGGAAGGAGACGTTCAATTTTCGCAAAGGAGGCCGGCCAACTTATTCTCGCGGCCACGGGATCAACGTCTTGATACGTAATACCAAGGGGAGAGAGAGCAGCGGTGTATTTCCTGGTGGCTGCGCAAAGCCTCGAAGGAGAGCCGGGGTGGTAATAAACGATGCACTGTGCACAGCTTAAACGGGGCTTTATGAAATCCCAGGCCGTGATTAATAATTTTCCTCGCGCCCCCCACCATCGAACCACCCTCTTGCCCACTACCCTCGTTAGACACATATCTCTCCCCATCCTTGGAGCCTCGCCGTTGGCTTGTGCATCGAGCTACGGTGACTAGCTACCTACCTTTCTCCTTCCATCATCCATCTTCCTCCTTATCGTCCCGTCCTCGTCCCGCGGATCGTTCTATGCAACGATGCTCGGATTATTAATCTCCGCGCGCTCTTTTTGCCGTGACACCTTTTTTTTCTTCCCCAACCCTTCTGTGAAACCGAAGAAATTAGGCGACGTGGGATTGATTAGAAGCGTGGTTACAGTGAATTAAACGGGGACGAGTTTTTTCTTTTTGCGTGAGTCGTGACTTTTCGAAAATTTTTCAGATTTCGTTGGCAACGAGTCGTAGAATAGGATTTATAAACGTCGAATAAATTGTTTTCAGAAATCACTGGACATTTTCCAAATTTAAAAGCAATAATGGATAAATTCGATTTTGCGGACAAGAAATTATAAAGGATTAAATTAAAAAGCGTAGTGAATTAAACAGGAACGAGTTTCTTTTTGCGTGAGTCGTGACTTTTCGAAAATTTTTCAGATTTCGTTGGTAACGAGTCGTAGAATAGGATTTATGGAAACGTCGAATAAATTTTTTTCAGAAATCATTGGAAACTTTCCAAATTTAAAAACAATAATGGATAAATTCGATTTTGCAGAGAAGAAATTATAAAGAATTAAATTATAAAGCGTGATATTCCAATGAACGAGTTTTTTTTTTTGCGCGAGTGATGATTTTGGGAAATTTTTGCAATTTTGGCAATTTTTAAGGACGCGATTTCGATAAATTTTTCCTTGGTAGAATAGGATTTGTAGAAATCGTTTTAATAAATTCTTTTCAGAAATCCAGGACCAGGAATCGTAGGATCAATTCCAATGGTGGAAAATTTAAGAGCAACAAATTCGACTTTGCGAAGAAGAAATTATAAAGGAGTGCAGAAAAATCTGGATGCCACCCATTATTCGTGAGTAATTATCAAATATAATATCAGCAATCAATAATCAATTTTCCTTTGACAAGGAAAATCCTTTCTCGTAAGTTTTAAACGAAAGACGGAACGTAGCTAGTTTATTCGTGCTTTTTCAATCGTCACGTTATTACGAATCTAAGCCACGTTAAGAATGAATCGATGATAATCATCGATGTTGTATCTAAACTGATGATCTCGAATTCCACGAATAACGCGTTTCTAACGATCACGAAACGAACAGTGAAACGTCGGTAAGAAAAAGACAAATACGACGAAGAATAGGTAACGTCATTACCGCAACCCTTCACGCGTGAAACAGGATTATTCTCGTTTGCAAGCTCATTAGGGCGATGTTTCTAGGGGCCACGACGCATTAAACAGATAATAGAGTAGACGCGTTTCTGTGTTTTATTATCCCGTTAACGCGAATGCAATAAGAGTAGCGAGACGTTTTTAGCAGCAATAGAGATTAATCAAGACAGGGGTGACATGTGAGGCAGGGTAAGATAAATATTTTTGTCGGGTGGAATTTATATTGGATCGGATTTCCAGTTTTTTTTTTTGTAATAATAACAACGTAACATCTTCTTGAATATGGGTCTTGTAAAATTTTAAATAATTGATGATCGATCGAACGTAAAAATTAGGCCATACTATTTCCATCGACTAGATTTTAAAAGTTTCTGATATATTTATTTGGAAATTATAAACGATGACGAGGAATCGAATTATATTATCTGTCGTGGTTTTAAAACAATCGAAGGGATCGGGTATTATATAATTCTTTTTGCATTGATTGTTAAAATCGAAATTAAACAACGACAGAGAATTTTTCTTTATCAGAGAAATCAAGTAACGCGTTCCAAAAAAAAAAAAAAAAAAATCTATCCACTACTGAAAAATAAATCACGATTAAATTATTCCCCTTTTTGTCGAACAACGTTTTATCCCGTCAACGTTTTTCCTTTTTCAATTAACCCGTATTTCTCGAGACAAGTAACAAAAACTAGCGCAAATATAGCCAGTTTACCGATACCGATATTTTCATACAAAAACTTTTATCGCGGTTAAACGTCAAACGATACGCCTCGTTCCTCTCGTTCTCGTTTACAAGCCGAATCGATAGCGCTAACTGTTTTAAACGCGGACATACCTTGCTGGCTGACTTCGCGTTGCCTGTTTTCTATGTCAACACGGCAATATTGAAGCAGGTCGTTCCCGCTGTTGCCACACACGTCAGTCACAGCTCCACCGGCGGATAATTAACCCTGCGGTTTACATTACGACACCTCTATCGTCTCGCGTCACCCTTCTTCTTCGCCATCCACTTTTTCACGCGTGCATCTACGAAGTCTACGAGGCAATAATATATGCATCCCCGTTTCGTTTCGTGAATGAATACACGTTGATACACAATTCCATTTCGATTAATTGGAACGATTCTAACGATTCCTTTGGAGAAATTAAATTAGAACGAATTAGATTTTTTGAGACGGACGTTCTTTATTTTTCTCAAATTGTTATTACAATTCCAACCACCATATCGCAAGATATTCTTCTTCCATTTAAGAAAAGTAACGGAAAAAGAGAGAGCAGGAAAGAGGGGAAGCCAATTTCAAGAATCCTCTACTTATCTCCACCACGGTTGACACGGTTTCAATCTAAAATTCTCCTCCAACTCCTCCCACGCGTCCCACGATTTAATCTCAACCGCCGAGAGATTCGAGGCACCAAAAACTCCCGTTCAACTTTCTCCTAAATCCTCCCGCCGCCGCCTACTAATTTCCAACTCGTTCGAACACGTGGCGAACTGTCGACGACTGCACCGACAGTTAGCTAAAACAGTTGTTGTCGTACGCTCCCATCCGATGATCTGCATCTGCATCTGACTGCCTGCTATTCCCGCCTCCTGTTCTCGCGAAACAAAGAAAGAACGAAAAAAAAGAAAAAAAAGAAAAGAA